GTACAGAAGATTGAACTTTTGAATTAAGATTACGAGCAATAGACGAGAAGTAGATGTTAAATCCGTTGGCAATCTCACGGCGTTCAGTTACAATTCTACCATCAATTAAGAATGATGCTTTTATATCTTTTTTAGATTTACCCCTGAGTTCGTTGATCAATTGCCAGGTTTTTTTAAATATTTCCTTTAGCAAGTTCAAATTTTTTCCCATAGTGGGCTTTTTTCGCAGATTTTATAGCTTTGTTTAAGATAGAACGATACTCCTTATACTTAAGATATAGAGTTTCCTCACCTAATGGGTTGATTTTGGTACACGAAGCCTTCCATCGCTTGTAGTGAAAGCCTTTAGTAAACACAGATTTAATTAACGCAGAAGTGATCCATGGATTCATCAATCTATTGCGTTTTGATTGAAAACCAGCAGTACAGTCCACTTTGAAATTCAGTTCGATTTTTTCGTGGACAGTTTCGACAAATTTTTCAAAACCTTCCTCATCATACGAAAAGTTCGATTGGTAGATATCCTTTCCAATATCATTAAGGAAACTTTCTATATTAGACTCACAGTAATCATACTTAGGTTTAAGTTTGGCAGTATTTGAACTCTCTTTAATATTACACGATATGAAACAGAAGATTGGGTTATGATGGGAAATCTTGGATTCAAGAATTCCAGATCCTAACACACGCTCAGTAGAGTTCACTAAAATATTATCAATTAAGCTTTCATTGCAACCCGGCTTGGCATGGGTGGCAATCGATATCAAAGGGATTAAATTGTTACTGTAGATAGTTTGTTCAAATTCAGCTATGTTTCGTCCCTGGGCCAAAAGATCAACATTGAAGTCACCTGTCAAGGCTACATTATTAGACGGTAGAAATTTCATCAACACATCAAGCTCAGCAAGTGCATCTTGAATATCACCACTAGGGGGCCTGTAAACAACACCAGCAATCTGTGGAACCTCTGTGTTAGTGATCTCAACGAAAAGTGTTTCAAGATTGTCAGAGCATTTACATAACTTTTCGATTCGGCTGTATTGGTACTGATTGTCAATATATATACCAAGGCCACTACCTTTCTTTTTCCCATCAGTTTTGGAGTTGTACTCACTGCTGTAACCATCAATTTTGTATAGATCTTTATTTTCCTCATTAATGTTTGTTTCAGCTAGCGCAATAACTGCAAATTTCTCATCATATTGACTCATATCAGTAATAAAGCTGTCAAAGTTAGATGCGTTCCCATCAATGTTGTTAAACACAATAGATATAAACGGCTTGTTATGGTTAAGTATGTTTTTTGACAGCCGGTTGAAATTTGTCATGTTATAATACCTACAGTCTTTTAGAATGTTTGAAATAGTCTCCATATCCTCGTCTCTTTCTACAGTGTTGGGATCATATTTGTCATAAATAATTGAGTTAAAAGGATTGTACCTTTGGGATTTGAAGGCGTAACACTGACTGCAGTGCCACATTTGTTTAACATGATCAAATTTAAAACTCTGTTCAGAACATTTGGCATGATATATTGTATCGCAACTCTCACATATTATGATTTTATGATGGCTTAGTACATTGCTATCACAACCTGGACATCTCTCTCTTGTAATATTGAAGTTTATTGAGGTCATATCGGTAAGATATCACCCCTACTACCCCTACTTAGGGCACTCCTATAGTCACCATTTCCACCTTTAAATCTTTCCGTGGACTGACTTCCACCACGTTGTACAATACACCGTTTTATGTTCATACAAAATATTTTCAGGCCTTCTCTCCCGAGATGAACAACATCATTGACCAATGGTGTGCCATCACGTGAGAATCTACCATACTTAGAGGGCATACATCCGTTAACAGAACCTAGTACAGAGTTATCTATAATAAACATGTTTTTCCTATTATAAACCATGTCGACAATTAAACTGTTTAACTCCCCTATACGTGAGTTAACAAACTGTGATTTGGTGGGCAAGAGTAAACTAATATGAACTTTACTATTAGGATAAAATTGCTGAATTTCACAACATTTCTTCTTAAGCTTAGCAATAAGTGTTCTAGTGGATGGTCTGTTGGAATCATCTCGAATATCATTGATTCCCGTATGTATAACAATGTTCCGAAAAGGGCCTATGTCTTTGGGAGCAGGAATATCGTCGATTTTAGCAGCCCACATTCGCTTACCGGTAACCCATTTTCCTAGAGTTCCAACATCTTTACCAAATTTGATGTACTTAGTGTTTGAGTCTCCAATTAACACTGTGCTATTTTTGTAGAAAGGCGCAATATGCCTAAAGGTAAAGCTGTACCTCACAGAAGTTTTCTCTTCAGATTCCTCGCCATCTTCTTCATTAGCGAGGGGTTCAATACCATGATTCCAGATTTCCTGGGACATTCTGGACATCACGTATACACTTCCATCTTTGAGCTTTAAGGACTTTTCAGTCGACTTATGTGTGAACTTTATTGTGCGTTCATCACCAAGGGACACAGTGACTATTACCGATTCTGGGTCAATAAGAACCTCATTGTCGCAGTGTTGGGGGATATGGCTACTATTGCCTGTATATCTTGTAACAAGGCAAGAGTTCAGCCAGCTCTTCCTATTGGGGAGAGAGGGACGCACACAGTCCAAAAGATCTTGTATCTCCGGTGGAGTTTCCTTTGCCTGATGATAGGCTCCTGTGTACCAGTATCCATGTTCACCAAAGTAGACAACATCCCTGCTGCCACCAACCGAAGAAAAATCCGCACTATTGTCCTCCAGCAGCTTTATAAGTTTGCTGTGAAGCTCAACAGGCACTATATCTTCCTGATAAGTTAGATAAGGGTCACATGCAGGGCCTTCAGGAATTTGAGATGCAGCAAAGTGAGGAGAAGTAGTGTTAGGGGTCATAAGGATAGATTCATTGTAAGGTAGTTCACCTTCATCAAAGTTCTGTGTGGACGTTGAGGGACATACATGATCATTGATCTTTTCCAATTGCACTTTGATCTGGGTCATCAGGTTGTCAACATGATCGAAAGTACTGCTGTTAGTCGGAGGTTGCTCTGTCATAGGTATATTTTTGAGAGAGTCCTTCAGGCCATCAATCTCCTGTTTGAGAGAGTTGCTGGTTGTCTCAAGAGCTGAGCCACTCTCCTTTACTTTCGTAAGTACACCCTTGATAGAAGCTATGTCTTCAGTGATATCTTCAATTCCAGTTACTAATCGTTCTGTTCTTTTGGAGTGTTCTTTGAAACTGTCCTCCTTGAGTATGAGGTGTTTGATATGCTCGTTGAAGAACTCTATGGTTGTTGTACTTTCTTTGAGTTCCTCATTACACTTTGATATCTTCGAAATATTGCTAAAGAATTCTGTTAAGGCTTTGGATTTTTCCTCCTCCTTCAATCTTCTTGTGTAAGGAAAGATAAAGCAGTCCGGGCACTTCCAGGAAGTGCTGAGCTTCTTTAGAGAAGTTGCTGTGAGGCCAGCAAGGTTAACACAGTTAGAATGGAAGGTCTGCTTACAAGTAACACATAAGATTGCAGGGTTCTTTGACTCTACAAAGCAGGGACACTTAGAGAGTAGCGTGCCTGGGATCGATGCTGGTTCGTTGCTCTCTACATCTACAAAGTCTCCATCAGATGTTAGATCTGCATCTGGCTCTGTGTTCCTATTATGTATTCTGCTAGTGACTTTTCGGCTTAAAGCTGGGCTCGAAATAGGGGTGGATCCAGCTGACTTGCACCCTCGAGACGTGGAATTAAAGAGGTCCGATCTCCTGTCGAGTTTCTTGTCGGTCTTTTTCATGATGATAATGGATGCGGAGTACAGGGGTGAGCGGAGGGGGCCAGGGTCAGACCCATCGAACCAGACCAGTAAACCTGAAACAAGCTAGGCGGCAGTGAGATGAGTAACATAAATTTATCAGTGATCACGTTAAGCTTAGCAGGAATCACCAGTATATTTAAGGCTAGTTAATGAGTTATTAAGTACGATTGTTGATTGAAAATGAATAAAGTATATCGAAACGTCAATTGTTTTGGATGAGATGTAAAATGGAGTGAATGTGCAATGAGGGGGAAGGGGCTGGGGTAAGGATCGGAGGGGTTGGGGTAAGGAAGGGCTACCAATTCAAATTCAATGTAAATTTTCAACTTTATCAATAAACAATCCCACACAAATATTAGTTAGAATCTCAAATCCGAATGAATGTACACATATAAAGGGTAAATAGTCTGCGGGTATTATATATAAATTTTTTAATAAAAAATGTATGGGGAGGCAGATAACAGGGGAAAAAATGGGGAGAGGGATTTTGCAAGACTGCAGGTGGATATCTTTACTTTTTAGATTTCCATTGAATAACTGTCTTGGGTTAAATAATCTTCTCACTCTAACACGAATAGGACAGCATAATGATAAAAGCACAGCTAAACCTCAAGTGCAATTTTAAACATTTAAAAATTAATATTCATCTGTTAATACTTTTAGAGTTATGACAATCAAAGATATCAGTATAAATTTAAAGTATAATTTAAATTTGAATTTGTCATACATTAAATGAGCAATAAAGTAATTACATATCAATACGTTTTAGTAAATTTGCTATTTGCAGTGGTTCACAAAACCATTACTTATAATAACTGCTATTTTATTGAGGCTCTTCTATTTCAAGTGCAGACCGTAGTCACCATACAATTCAACACTACATACAGTAGTATCATATATATACAAATATTTAAGGATATCCAGACTGTAGCCAAGCAAGTTCGCAGGGTTAAAAGTAGGGTCAGGGTAGGGTCACGTGGACGTGGATTTGAATGATGATGTTTATGGCGGTGCTGATGCTGATTGTAGAAAAATGATAATTACTCAACTTGCTTCAGGAGTCCATGGCTAGTCTTCTGAGTACACGACCCGGCCACCCCGCATCACCCCCACACACCTTTTCCAATTAGTGCTGCATTACTTGCGAACTTGCTTGACTGACATTCTTTTTCGACATCCTCAAATTATTTGTTATATAGTAGTGTTGAAAGTATTATCGCATTTTATACTAATTTAGCTTATAAGAATTATAAATCATGTTAATTGCAATGGAGAGCTTTTACTCGAGATTCTTAATTATTTCTTATAACATGTTAGCCATTTATTATAATTTAGTTTTCATCAACCCAATATGTTTGATCTCAATGTGCGTAATATGCGCATATATATATATATTATATATGCGCATATATATTATCTTTTCATTATGGACTCGTCACATCTCATTTCATTATCTCCTAACATGTATGTTTCTTAGAAAATTATGGGGCAGTGGCTTGTAGTGGCTTTTAGTGGCTACCCTAGTCTGTGGATTGGTTGCAAGTGAAATATTAAAATCTTGTATGCCATACTCTGTACATCTGTTGATAGTGCAAAGCTCACGTGCGCAACTGGGAGGTGCAGCATATTTTGAATGATTGTCAATAAGTTACTTTGTGGAGCTTAAATCTGTTCTTTTCAAGGTCACATAACAACGGGAAAAAAGAGACTTGCACCAGAATCATCGGTTGTGGCAGTACATTAAAATGTGTAATGTACCTAACTCTCAAGTTACTCAGTACATTAAAATGTATAGAGACGTTTATAAGTCATCTATACATTTTCCATTATATTATTATAATATGTACTATAGTTATATTATATAATACTACTATACTGAGTGTAACATTGTAGTATTTAACAAATGCAGGGACCATAATATAATAATATCGGAGCTCACCTTCTTTATGGTACATAAATAGATTGGGTGGGGGTTATTTGTCTTATATTGTGGGGGTATGGTGAAGCTTCGGAAAACCTTTAACGCTGAAATTATAATTTTCTTCTTGAATAGAATCCCCAAAAATATTTAAGCCTGGATTGATAGGAGAAGGCACTTGAAACTGTTATCCATAAGCAATACCTGATTAACCTAAAGTAAGTATCTGATCAGCTAAGGGCACACTAAATTCACAAAAACTTAAATAAGATAGTATATTTAATATTTATATTTATTATACATTGCTTCAAATCCACCAATAATCGATAAAGGGAGAGCCATATTTCCACCACCTTAAAACCCGACCTGAAGTCGCTGCAGTTTAATCAACCAGACCCTTCAACTTGACACGTGATAGCTGTGAAGCATTACCTGGTCAGTGGTCAGGGACCGTACATTCTGACACGTGGGCAAATGCTGACACGTGGGCAAATGCTGACACGTGGGCGAATACCGTCACGTGGATAAATATTAAATACTGACACGTTGGAAAATTCCGTGTCACGATGGAGAAGTGGTGCACTTCCTGACTAGTCCCACTTACTACTTCAGTTCCTGTCAAGTACCGGTATACTTGACAGGAACTGAAGTAGTATGTTCCTGTCAAGTATACCGGTACTTGACACTCCCAGGTGGTATATAAGTGTATAATATGATTTGGTAGCAAATAGTTAATTCGTAGAAATGGCCCTTGGTAACTGGTTGGATACCATTATACTTAATATGGCTCTAACTGAGTATAATTCTCTAATGTATGGACGGAAAATCACCATTCTAGTGATGCTTTTCTAAAACTGTCATACAATGCAGATCTGTAGTGTTTTTTAACATGTTGGCTGGACTTTGGTGAACATTTTCCCATCGTTTTCATCGCAGTTAGTCAAATATTAAACATATACAAAGAACATGATAGATATCAAGATGTGATATTGAAATCTGAAAGCATTCACCATATTAGTATGTATAATATTACGTGTTACTAGGGATCCACTGAAACAGCTTTAGTTTTGTCCAGTAAAGTAAGGATCCACTGAAACAGCTTTAGTTTTGTCCAGTAAAGCCCTGACATCGTCTCTTTAAAGTACACATTAATTATAAATAGAAAACTATACACAAGGAAAGTAATGTTAGCTTCATCGTGATCTGTGAAGCTAATGTTTAGGATTGTATTTATGTTAATATAGCGTCTCAGAATAACAACAGTCTTCCAAGGCCCTCTCCGGTCAGCTGATACTACACGTTTTATTGTTATGTTCTTATTTGACTTACTCGACTTAGGGCGGCTTCAACGTCCGAACAGAGATAGTTTTTTTCCAAATCTGTCTATCCAGCATGAGTTTGTTAATCTTCTTGCTGTCGTCAAGCCCCGTGTCCTTCCGAAGGATGTCAATATATGTGAGGTGTGGTCTTCCCCTTCGACGATGTCCTTGAAGGGGTTCCCAGAAGAGAAGTTGATGACTCAGAAGTTCTTCATGTCTGGCTAGATGACCTGCGAGTTCTTTTTATCAGTTTACATTCCACTCAATTATATGAACAGTTATATCCAATATCCGCATATTATGTTGGGTATGTTCATTGTTCATGTATCAAGTGCACATTGGCTGGAAAGTAGATACTGGAGATGTAATAATCAATTTTTCTTCGTAAATCATTAAAAGTTCTAATCCATTAAATTCTTGACAGATTGAGGGCTTCATTAAACTATATATGGGATTTAGAAGTGGATTTTGTATTATTAAATTTAAGGGTGATGCGTTTAATAATGCAACTGACTGTTTATTTCTTAGTTTATTAGCCAGTATTCGGCTAGTTCGTGTCAGAGATTAGATTTATCAGGGTTCACATTATGTGGTGGTTTCAGCACACACCCAGCTGTATTCCATCACAACACGATACGTGAGTATAAGACCCCTAATCAGCCTAATGCGCTATGTGAGACGCTTGATAGGTTATTCGATTGGCTAGAGATATGCTATTGGGAACATGTGCTCCTTTCTTTTCCCCTGAGAGGCCCGGTATAAGGAGGTTCTACTATTTAGACAAGAAATTCGTGCCTGTGATCACTAATCTTAGCCCAAATCTGGAAAATTTTACCAGCTCTCAAACTATACTCAGTTCGTTTAAATATAAAGACGGTTCACTCAGCGTCTTTAATTTTGACCATTTTAAAGGCTTCACCGTCTTTAAATCAGCGCAACCCGTCTTTAAATTTGCTGGTAGAAGTAAGGTCAGTGTGTGAAATGTGCTTTATTACATCCGATATATTGTGAGACCTGAAACAAACTGAGTGTACACTTGAATATTTTAATGTAACCACTTTTTAGCCGATTTTTAACCCCCTTGTCCTCCTTAATCAGTTTTACACACAACAATTGTGTTATAATTACACTAGTGTAAGTGATTAAGTAATGTGTTAACTATCCCCAAGCCTACAGTGACGGGGTATATTGTTCCTAACTGCGGTCTGTAACCATGTATATCAGGTGACATGACGTGTAATGCACATATTATATTTATCGAGTAAGCATGTTTCGGGATGTCATTTTGCAAGATACACGAACAGAAACTTTCCTGCTTTATCGAAGAGAGAACAATGATGACCTTATGACTTAATCGCCTATGCCACTTAACGCATATCATGGAAATTTGCACTAGAATATGGAGACTGTATTCGTTTATTGGACAGAGCTCCAGTGGCACAATCGGTTAGCGCGTCGTACTTATAAGCAGTACAGGCTTAGCAATGCGAAGGTTGAGAGTTCGAGCCTCTCCTGGAGCACGAATTTTTGTCTAGCATTTTTACAAATTTATACTATCAGCTACTTTATAGTTTTTATTCCCGCTACTTTTCTTACATGTGGAGTTATCTTGATATTTTCTTTAACTTTCACAAATAACGACTGCTATTTTCAGCTTCGTCTCCTCATGATCACTCATCACACATTAAGTTGAGTTATCTTAAGATTTGACAGTTCAGTAGCTTTCGTGTGCTAACAACATGATACAGATATTTAATTATTCTATGGATTTAATTTTTGACATGTGACGTAAGCTCCGAAATGAGGCATTCGATGCAATTTGTCATTTTATGCCTATGGTTCCATGGTTCAGAGATAAATCAAGAAAGCTTTTATTTGCCAGCGATCTTTTAAATTAGGGATGACTTGCCTTGACCAGAAAGTGACAGGTATTTGACAATATAGGCTGGGACACACGCCACAACCTTCTACCATTAACTATATCGGTCATTGTAGTTGTATATCACGTAGTGCTACAAAGTTTTTTGATGGTCCAATACATATTAATTTCGAACACCACATCTGTGGCAACGTCATTGAGTGATGAGTCATGTGATTCGAGAATTTTAACCCTTACCTGAGATTTAGTCTGATTAAAGGTATTTATATACACTGTCACGGGTCACCGGCTCGTGGGGATTTATATGAGCTCCAAAAATTTGTGACTTTTAGTCGGCGGCGAGCTTCTAAGTTTATATTACGTCCGCGCTTTCAAGCCAATTATTGTTTTTCTGAGCACGCGACGCGCGCACACTTTGCTCGTCCTAGCTGAGCTGAGCTGATCGAACCTGATTCGATTTCTCGTTCGTCAAGAATCAAGATAATCCAAATCAAATGCAAATGGTCAATTACACACTTGAAGTTAAATTTAAAGAATTATCATGAGTTTGAAGCATTTTTATTTTCCTTCAGGTTCAATTTAAAGAATTATCATGAGTTTGAAGCATTTTTGCCTTTCAACATGAATATAAATAACAGTGAAAAGTCAACAGCTTAAAAATAACAACAGCACAAAACAGAATTAGCCATGCGTGTCGAACTATTCTAGTGCACGAAGACAGCATATACCCATTTACGGTCTATCGGTTCGTGATGTCTTGTCAGAAAGAGTAGCTGATTTAATCAGACTAGTTCTTGTTTACACGTGATCTGTATATTTCTCTGATTTCTAATCAGATTAGTTGAACTTCCTGTGGAAACAAAATAGCCAGTGATTTGTCTCATCTTACTTCTTTCCAACAGTATCTTGCCAAACTGTCCGTCATGTTAAAGAATCTAAGTTTCATTTCGGCGTATCATGTTGCATTTCATGATATCGCTGGTATCATACCAGATACGATCAAACCATACATGTTTTACTGTTATCTCAGAAGTGATGTAAAGCTATTCGACGTGTTGGCTAACAGGGAACCGTTATTTTCGACATGAGATGTGGAGATATTGTGGTTTCAGGTTTCTTTGTACGTGTTAAAATTCGCTCTTGTTTGAAGTTTATTTTAACAATGAATGTCTTATTCTTTCTACCAATTACCAGTTCTGTTTTATTACCCGTTTTAAGGGGGGGGGGGGGGGGGGGGGGGTTCACCCTGATTTTTTTGTGAAACTTGGTTTCGAGATAGCAGTTGACCAACAAACTAGGACCGGTGACCGAACTTTTGAGGGGGACCCGGACCCCAACCGCCAAACGGTGCCCGCGGGGCAGCCACGCCCATATTTGGTCCAAATTAGGCCCAATCTAGCCAAATACCCCGAACATGCCCAAAACCCAGATTTTAGGTGCTTTACTTGTAGCTAGTGGTCCCTTGAACTCGTATATGAAGTTTCATCAAGATTGGACAAAAAATGACTGAGTTATGAGCTAAAAACTATATGCCCATATTTGGGCATACGCACTAAATTTGATCGATTTTGGCCCATAAATTAGTCAAATATCAATATTTTTTAATGAAACTAACTTTATATGAAAGGTAAGCATAAACTACACATTCTCTATGATTATCAGCTCAATATCTACCTAACTGTGGATTCTGTGTTCAAATAATCACAAAAAATGAACAAAATCGCCTATATCTCAGTTCGCGATATTTGCAAAAGTGACTTCGCTCAAAACAATAGAACTCAATAGGGTATCAATATTTTTTCCTGAAATTTTCAGAATCAACGTAGAATCGCCTCATGACCTTAAGTTTTGTATTAAAATTTTGAGTTAGGCCTTTAAAAAAATTTGGCGGCCAAATTCTGAAATTTGCCGGGCATTTTTCAGAATTTGACCGCCAAATTTTTTTAAAGGCCTAACTCAAAATTTTAATACAAAACTTAAGGTCATGAGGCGATTCTACGTTGATTCTGAAAATTTCATGAAAAAATATTGATACCCTATTGAGTTCTATTGTTTTGAGCGAAGTCACTTTTTCAAATATCGCGAACTGAGATATGGGCGATTTTATACATTTTTTGCGAATATTTGAGCACAGAATCTACAGTTAGGTAGATATTGAGCTGATAATCATAGAGAATGTGTAGTTTAGGCTTACCTTTCATATAAAGTTAGTTTCATTCAAAAATATTGATATTTGACTAATTTATGGGCCAAAATTGATCAAATTTAGTGCGTATGCCCAAATATGGGCATATAGTTTTTAGCTCATAACTCAGTCATTTTTTGTCCAATCTTGATGAAACTTCATATACGAGTTCAGGGGACCACTAGCTACAAGTAAAGCACCTAAAATCTGGGGTTTGGGCATGTTCAGGGTATTTGGCTAAATTGGGCCTGATTTGGACCAAATATGGGCGTGGCTGCCCCGCGGGCACCGTTTGGCGGTTGGGGTCAGGGACCCTCTCAAAAGTTCGGTCACTGGTCCTAGTTTGTTGGTCAACTGCTATCTCGAAACCAAGTTTCACAAAAAAATCAGGGTGAACCCCCAGCCTTAATAAGAGATATGGTGCTCCCCTCTTACACTTACCTCGTCTCGATCTGGTGACCATCCCATCATTTGCCCCGATCGTTCTCTCTTATCACATGCTATGCCCAGGATCAAGATCTTAACTTAATACACTTGTGAATCTTTATAGCTCCATATTTCTGGGTTAATCTAGATTATATACTGTACTTAGAACGGGGGGGGGGGGGGGGGGGGGGGCGGGGGGGGGTGGGGGGAGGGTCATATTTTCTTACAAAACACAGTTAGTACATGGTACATTTTCCAGAAATACAGTTAGTACATGGTACTAAGGGGGGTCTCCAACCCCAAAAAACCCATTTTATCTCAAATTTCAATTTTGGGAATGGGTTTTTTTTTCTCTAACTTTGTTGCCCATTTCCTAATGTTTAATGAGCTGTTTAAAGCAATTTATAGGTGGGTATTATTTTATATACCAAGACAAAAGTACCACAAAAGCCGCGAAGGGGGTGGGTGGGTCTTTTGACAAAATTCCAAAATTACACTTAGTCAATTGTCAACGTCACGTACAGAACTTAGTACCTGATCCCCCCACGCCCCCCCCCCCCCCCCTCCCCCCCCCCCCCCGCTTAGAACAACAAGCTCGATGCGATTACTTTTCTTTCGATTTAATTTGATAGGTCCTGTTTTACTAAAAATTGAATTTTAAGAAAGGAATAGCATGTACCTAATACGATTTGTGGTAAAGTGGTTGCCACACGCCACTTACCTTGCCTAATACCTAATAACATAAGGACCTCCAGGCTAGAACTAACACTTCCTCGGAAATGTTATTATTTGGATAGGATGGCCTCCAGGCTATTAAACATATGTTGCGCTGTATTCATTTTAATGAATTTTCAGCCCGTTCGAATAGAAATGTAGTACGTGCCTGCACCAGAACAATCTTTGCAGTTTTTGGCAATCAAGTTTTTATTTTTTCTTAGTTTCAATAGATCTTCCTCTTTCCAGATTTACCGTATACATGCTCAAAAAACAATACACATAATATCTATAACTAGTAATGGAGTGTAGCATCTAAGCACCACAAGCCACCAAAAAGAACCTATTTTTTGTCGTAAACGTTTGAACCAGGCACCAGTTCTTAGAGGATATTTAGCCATTGTCAGCTTTAGAGTGCTCATAGCAGATGTCAGGACCACAGTCACTGGCTCACAGACCCAGCTGATATTATACTGAACATGACACAGTAGCACCCCATCATTCAAACATCTGCGATTGTTGCTAGAGTTCCTGGAATGTGTTAATACAGCTTACATCAAGTCAAAATCAGCCATGTGCTGCATCACTGTTATTATTTAAATCTGTTATTATTATCACTGTTAGTATCACTTAATGGAGTTTGATGGCTTGTTATTTGAAATTCGCTATAAGAATGACTCTGTTCCCTATAATAAGCGACGCAAGAAGAACAATTAAGTTCCAGAATTGAATCTCTCCGCATCATCTTTGATAACATATGGCGTATTGTTGTCTGTTTCCATGTCAAACAGAATCTACCTGGTTATGAAAAGAAAAAAGTCATTTTAACAGTATAATGTGTTGTGAAATATTTCAATCAAAGGATGTCATTGCCATATAATTTAAAACTTACCAAACTGGCTATAACATGTAACCAGTTTTCACAAGATGCTGGCTAACAATACACCACCTCCCAACTACTACAGTGAAACTGTCACGTGATCGGGTGATCGGAAATATTGTTTCTTACATCAGCTCATCATTTTCATCTTATCTACACGGTCTCCATTGCGCAACTGTATTTTTACTTTCACAACATCGTACAGGTCTACTCCTTTTGTGTAGGATGTTTATTGTAATACTAGACCGTCCACAGTATGAAGTAACTCGGTACAATGATAATTATACTTCTGAATATTCTAAATAATGCGGGTGTTAGCAGTATATCCTCTTGTTAAGCGGTGACCTTTGCGTTCCTGTGGTAATCTGATTATCTTTGCGTCCTTATGGTAATTCAATGAGTTCTGAGACGTTGGTGTCTGCAGTTCTGCAGAGTGCAGCGATCTGATTGGCTATTATATTAGCGCTCCATACTCTCTCCTCATTCAACAGTAAGACTAACATGTCACACTGATCTAATTTTAGCTGCAATAACGTTCACGGGACTTTTTGCGCACATTCACTCAGGGGTTTTATTACAATTCTTTTGGAATGAACACATGTAAGTGGTGACCTTTGCGCCCCGTGGTTACATTACGCTGAGGTAATCTAATAAGCAGGACTTTGCAGAATATTCAATCTTGTATAATTGATAATGCTGCGATCCTATTGGCTAGTGAAAGGTTCACACTCCTTTCTCATTTGATAGCGGAGTTAGTGTTCTTACATTCCCACTAATATTATTTCTGTGGCAGTAATTCAAAACATTCATCCTGCTGTTAATGTTGTTATGTAACGTTTCCTTCTTTGTTATGTAACGTTTCCCTCTTCCTGTAGGGTAGCTCTAGTTCTGAACCTACCTATTGAACCTATTGTTCGTTTGTTTTTATTTTCCTTTTATGGTAGTGTAGAGTTCTCGGCGTCTTTGCAGGAATGTTACAGTTCCTTCAGTTTATTCCAATAGTCGGTGTCTTTGAGCCCTAGAATCCGTCTTGTGAACAGGCGTTGTATGCTCTCAATAGACTGGATATGATATATCGTGTTTTCATAAGTTACGATATTTTGAATTACACACACAATTGCCAATGTGGTCTTATGATTAATTAACTATAAAATCTCACCATATTACAGAATGTGAACACACAACAAACTCCTCTGACAGCACAGTGCCACAGAGATGGGTTATTACACAGAACTACGAAGCTCACTTCACACGTGGTATCACCAAAGTGCCGGACTCCGTAACTTACGGCGACTGTTCGAAGATAATGAATACCGGGACCCAACCCACGAACCTCGCTCCAAATACCAAATAGACAGGTACTGTTATTAATACTATTAGTATTATTAGTATTATATTAGTACTATTATATATAACACATAGTTTGACATGATGTTTAATACGGGGGTGTCTCCCTTGAATAATCCTCAATTCCATTTTCAAATGCCTAATATTCTACTTCTCACTGACTCAGGAAACAACCAGTTAATACTTAATATCACAAGATTCTTCTTTTAAGGTCATCATCTCACGTGCTACACGTATATTTATTTATGTGCATCACGTCACGTGCCATGCCATTCCTTATATAGGCATCACGTCACGTGCCATTCCTCATGTAGACATCACGTCACATAACTACACCTAAAATGACAGGTACGAGTGTTGGAGGGTTACTAGCTACATGCTGTGTCTCCCCGTGGGGGCGCTGGCAGCGTACCAAGGTTACAGAGCCGCTACTGACCAGTTCACCAAGGTTAACGAGCTCACTATTTACGAGAGCAGGCTGTCCATGTGGCGGGTCAGGTCTAACTTCAGGTGGATGGGAGCTATGGGGTACGGTATCCCTGTCATGATCCGAACTTTTACTTTCGTGGCGTTTTTGTTGGGGGTTCCGGCTCTGGCGGGGGTTTACCGGGATGATAGGGACCGTGTTTCCCATTATGTTGTTTCAGCCGGGTTTGGTGCCATGTTGGTGACACTGATGACTACTAGTTCCGAGTTCAGAGGTATCAGACAGAAGGTCGTGGCAGCGGGTCTGGGGATGTTGCCAGGGTTACTAGCTGGGCTTTTGTTCACGCAGGGTCAGAAACAAGATATTTACCCGTTTTATGATCTTTACAAAGAGAGGTGGAGGAGTATAGATCCGCTGTGGGCTGACTTCGTGGAGAGACATGATAATGAAGAGGAGTCTCTAGCTGTAGCTAGAAGTAGTGGTCACGTGATGCAACATAAACAGAATCTTGTAGATGAGAAGAACCTTCTAGAGGAAAAGAAACTTCTAGATGAGAAGATCTCTCTAGATAAGAAGACCCTTGTAGATAAAGTGAACTCTGATGCTTCCTCAGTCAGCTGTGATGTGTCAAATAGATCATCAGAAGAATGTATCGAGTCAGCTGAAGTTGTGACAGAAGTTGAAGACAAATTATGATATTTAGTATAACCAAGTCATGTGGTCAATGTTAAATATTATAAACATTTTAAATTTAGGATGTAACTTATTTATTAAATCTCTAGAAGAATTTCTCCTTTTACTCTGATTTTTCCCTAGACAATAGAAAAGTAAGTGATTAATGAGCAATATATTTGGTTTTATATACTATTTTTTGTTTATGATGGAAAACCCATCACATGATCCCAGCTCATTTTATAACTAACTCCAGAAGGGCGATGGACAGTCTCGGTAGCAAGATCAATGATCTGTGTAACAAACATTACAACACGCTTCCTAAAAAAGGAAAACCAGCAGCTAACCAATGGACGGTTTTATCAGCCGTTGTCATGGAACTTTCTGGCAACCTCACTGTCCTCACCATGGCAACAGGTACCAAATGTGTGGGCGAAGAACAGAAAACTCCGCACATTGTATCGGATAGTCATGCGGAGGTGCTGTCTTTGAGATTATTCAGGTTATTTTTAGTGGAGGATATTACAACTTGTCTGAAAAGTGGTGGTGGTTTGTGTTTACAGAAGGGTGTTGATGGGAGGTTTGTAGTTAAGGAGGGGGTCACTCTTCACTTCTATTCTTCCTGTGTAATGTGTGGTGACGCAACTATCTCTGAATCAGATCCTAAGCAGACTGACAAGAAAGAATCCAAATCTGTAACTGATAATATTGATGACTGTGTTTCTACCAGAAAACGACCGTCCGCAGAATGTAACTCCTCATATTCTAAACACCCTAAACTAGACCAACTAGACCAAATGTCCAGAACCGGAGCCAAATGCTTGCTTTCGGACAACTTCCACACAGACACTCTCAAAGCCAGATCCTGGCGGAAAACTTCAGTTCTCAGGACAAAACCAGGTCGAGGACCAGTCTGCCTTTCACTGAGTTGCTCTGATAAACTGATGAAAAGGCAGTTTCTGGGACTGCAAGGGGGCCTATTGTCAAAGTTTTTACCTGCTCCTATCCGGTTCTCTTCCTTCTGTATTGGAGGGGATTTTTCTATGAGCAGTGTAAAACGAGCCCTGTTAAACCGTCTCCCAGACAACTTGTTACCACCCCCACAAATACTAAAAGTAGAGGATGCGTTTGTTAACAGTGCTAACAATTGTAAGTGTAATAGTGGTGACGTCATAGCTGCAAGTGGTGACGTCATAGCTGCAATTGGTGACGTCATAGCTGCAAGTGGTGACGTCATAGCTGCAAGTTCTTCCCTCTTGTGGATGAAACACGGTGAACAAGATCTGCAATGGGCGGGTGTCAAAGGTAAGCTTCAGGGCGCTACAAAATCCTCATCCCAAGTAAAAATAATGCTGCCCGTTTGCAGAGCAGCGATGCTGAAGCAGGCCACTGTACTTTCTTCTTTGTTAGAATCTGGGGGAAATGTTTCAGTCCAAGATTCCAAGCCACTTTTGGAGAAAGATGAATTTAGTAGGCAGTATCTATTTTTCAAGTGTGAGTCCTCGTATAAGAATAGTAAAGCAGAATTTTGCAAATATTTTGTCGGTTGGGATCGAAAAGTGAGCGGTAAAATTCACAGAACTTCTCAAAATATTGAGAAGGAGAATGGAAAATGAGCGTTTTTAAACTCTTTTTAGTTTATCGAAGTTGCATAATTGAAGGTTCAATTTAGTGGCATCATTGCAATTGGTAGATTTTTATAAGTTATTTAAGTTTTATAATTTATTTATAATCTTTGTAAGGGAATATTAACAGTTGCACTTGTTGAATATGTTGATATGACATTACACGGTTTTTATTGCTTTCATTATCGCATACTAAAGTTTCCTGATCGTCTCAAAATGAGAAGCTTTTGTTTATTCAGATTGAGTTACATTGACCTTCCTCATAAAACTAGGGCGTAATCTCTTTCAACATCCTTTTGGTTAAGGGAATCATGACAAGGCTTCTTAGTGAAAGCTGATCCCTTCATGTCTAATACTCTCTTAGGACCATGGCTATGGAATCATGGGAAGCCAAGATAATATCCCTAGCGATACTGCTGATACTTACTATAGTCTTTGGTTTTATACCCAGAGCTCTCAAAGTATCGGGAAATGAGAAATACATCAGTGTCGCTAACTGTATTGCAGGTGAGAATTTCTCTTGTTTTTATATTTGTGGTTCAGTTATTCAAACTTTACAAATATTGCTCAGTAATGGAAAATCGTTGTCAATTGTCATTCGTCATCTTTTTTTAAATATCTTGGGAATTTTCCATTTAGCATTTTCACATGTTTCCTGTGATACGTTTAAAAACCTCACTAATAATAAGAAAAGTATATTGTCACACTATTGTGATACTATTGTGACACTATCGTGATACTATTGTGACACTATTGTGACACTGTTGTGACACTATTGTGACACTATTGTGACACTATTGTGACACTAACATTATTACACCTCCAGGAGGAGTGTTGATGGGCACGACCCTACTTCACCTGTTACCAGAAGTGATGGAGGATGTGGAGAAAGGACTCAAACAGAATGATATAAAGTTGGATTACCCAATAGCTACCCTAACTGTGGGGTTGGGTTTCTTGCTGATTGTTTTTGTGGAGATGTTAGCTCATACCATCCAGGTTATTATTAACACAATTATTTAAATAAAATAATTAACACAATATCTATGTCATTTTATGTTGATTTTGCAATTTGCTGTCTATTGTAGTGAACTGAGTAATCTAAGAAAGGTTGTGGTATCTAATATAGAAAACATGTCTGACTTGATCTCTCTTTCAATGTGAAATCATTTGTCAAAAAAACCTAAAACATCAACACCGAAAACACTCCCAAAAACTCAAACATATTTCTAAAAGTTGGGACTTGGTGTTAATTTAAACACCTCACCGATAACAGGATTGGATGGCGACAAGGGACTCTCTAAAAACCTTCTGCTGTAACTCCAACACGGTACAAGATGAGGAGGGCAACGAAGAGCAGCTTCACATTCCTGATAGTTTCGTCGAGGACGAGATAAACATTTTTGATAGGTCGGTATTTTGTGTGTGTATTTATTAGATCTCCGGGCAATTCAGTAGTGTGGCATAACACGGTTAACGCACGGTTAAGGCACGGTTAAGGCACAGTTAAGGCACGGTTAAGGCACGGTTAAGGCACAAGGGTTACATAAGGCACGGTTCTTAAGGCACGGTTAACGCACGGTTAAGGCACGGTTAAGGCACAAACTGCCCAAAAGCAACCATTATGGTCGCTTAAGGCACGGTTAACGCACGGTTAACGCACGCTTAACCGTGCCTTAACTGTGCCTTAACCGTGCCTTAACCGTGCGTTAACCGTGTTATGCCACACTACTGAATTGCCGATCTCCGCTTTAAGATCTGATAAATAAATATTTAATCTATTATTCAGTTTGTGTTATTTCTCCAAGCAGCGCATGATTATCTGTTCAAATAGTTACCATACACCAGTGCAGCATCTACAATAACAACAATCCTATTAATGCTTTTTTGTAGTGTTGTAATTAGTTTAAAACTATGAGATAGGATCCTGACCAATTTAACCACCCCTCGCAGTTGCCCCGTACCCCGCACAGAGCAACAGGTTTTTGACCAAAGTAGCCTAGAAAATCCAATTTTAACCGAGACTGAAGATGCTACTCGTAGGTTTGACTAGTGGTCTATAGAGTGACCTACAGCATGGTTAATCATAATGTCGATTTGCAGGTTAATCCTTTATAAAATCACAGAAATTACTCCACGATTTCTATTTTATAGTAAAAATTTCAGGAAAAATTAGAAGAATTTGTTCAAAAATACTCGATTTGCCTTCACCATCCAACTATCAAAAGAGAACTTTCCAACAATATCCCATAAATTATCACAATCAACTTGGTGTCATGGAATCCCGAATTAAGCTCAAATTATTGATCTAACAGTTTCTCAAGAAAACTATAAAATAAACATAAGGTCCAGATAAGATTCTTGATCTTACATCATACCAGGATAAGTTATCAGGAGTTATCAGGATAACTCCACAACAATCAGTGGCTATTTTCCCGGCTGTAATATGACAAATTTTCAGTATGGAGCGTGTGAGACGGTTCACACGTGCAAGTAGCAGGGGTAGTATGGAGAGGGCTGCAGGGAACAAAGTCAGGACTAGATCCGCGGTAAGTGCAGGGTCGTTATTGTGACATTGTTGTGACACTGTTGTGACACTGTTGTGACATTCTTAGGTTAAGTTTGTTGAGTCTTTATTTTTAAGGGATCCGTCTCAGACCCCCGTATTTTGTTATGACTTGAGACTCTAGAGTACAAGTTGGCATTTTACCAAAGAGTGTAATTTTTGATAATTGATAACTCGAGACTTAATACAAATTGGTATTTTGCCAGAGAATGTAACACCAGATAACAACTTAACTCTCTCTAACCTGTAGAGGAAGTACTCCGACTCGGAGAAGAAGCCTCTACTCAACAACTCAGTTCAAAACTCAAGACGAGCTGCTAACGTATACGGTAACTAATAACACTACCAATATTATTTTTACTCACCTGACAGTTACCTACGTTTATATATGTTGTGTAATATGTTGTACTCGTGGCTGGAAGATCTCAGGATTGTCTCGTGAAATAGTGAATTTGTAGCATTTCGTGGTGTTCGTAATTATGACGTCATACTGTTACGTCATAATCCCACAATAATTGTAATCACGTGTCTGTATTGTGTGATCTAAATAAATAGCAACTCTGTTTTGCAGAGTCTCATGTTATTTTGCGGGACCTGGGAACGTTCTTCTCACTCGTTTCACTAGTTTTGTGTGTGGTTACACTGCACCTGTCTTGTATGTCTTTTGTTTATGTCATTTATTGGACTGCTGTTACTTCATAATGTAAACCGTAAATGGCCAACTAAACCCGCACAAATAAACCCGCACAACTAAACCCGCACAACTAAACCAGCACAACTAAACCCCTTTCAGTGAACCCGGAAGAGAACGCCGGTCACAGTCACGGTGACACTCACAGTCACGACGGAATTGCGCACGCGCATGGTTCCGGACATGCGCACGACCACGGACCTCCGACTGAGTTCAAAGGCTTTGGCAGTATACTGCTCCTCTTTGCTTTATCCGTGAGTTTTGTTATTTTCAGTATTATCTTTAAATCCTAAACCTTTTTACATCAACAAAAAGTTCTTGACTTGTGATCGAATTTTCTGTAAGCTATCGCAATTACATGTTTTTATCTATTTCTAGTCTCATAGAGGATATTCGTCAGAATGTACTGAAAAAATATTGAAAAGGGTTATTGGATACGTTTTAACAGAATAAAAAATGCGATCTCATGGTTAAAATTCAAAACTAAATTTAGCAACAAAAAAACAGACCCTCTCTTGCTAACAGTTGTACCCGTTGGCACTCCAATACACGTCACACTCCCTCGCTCTCATCTGATCAGCAGTAATATTCTCCACCGTCTGCACAAAAAACTGAACCTCAGAAGTGAATGGTTGCTTAATGTAGATAGGAGGGCATATACCTGCACTACTCCAGTATCCTGTAACAGTAGCAGTGACAACTGGAGCACTGACGAACCCACACTCCTCAGTGTTGATAGCTTTCTAGACTGAGCCGTGCCATTGATTCTTCCAGCCGTAGTTGCCAGTTTCGCTGTATCTGGAAACTCCGGAGCAGGTCAAGGCACATGGTAGGGGACCGGTTACACCGTCGGGGGTACTCAAGATCTTCAGTTCACTTTGAGTGGGTATGGCTAAATATTATCACAATAAACAAACAGCTGAGCAGCTGCATCTTGAAAAGTGATGGGACGTCTACGTCTATACGGGGTATTGATATATTTCGGTTACGAAAGAAAGAAAACGGAAGACGGCTGTGTCAGCATGAGTCTTTGTGTAAAGGCAGCAGCTGCAGTTGTAGAGATGTGAAAAGTACAATAGGTCACAGATTAGCGTATTCACGCGGACCTGAAATCAGATTTAATCACAGGAAAATGTTATGTTTCATCACACAAAGCAGCTTTCTGAAGTAACTGTACCACAAAAGGATAGACACAGGTGAAATGGCCTGTGATGTTTTCAAACACTGGATAAGAAGATGTGACACATTAGATAACGCTCTCAGGTACACTCAATACTGGAGGGAATGGCGGTTGGATCCGAGAAAGACTGGCTGATGGTGTTCACTCTGACCGGTGCTCTCTCACTCCACAAAGCTCTCCTTGCCTTCGCTCTCGGTTTGTTATTGTTTGTTTGTTTAAATGTTAAGTTTCAAATAGACTGTGTTAGCTTGATGGGACTTTACCGGAAATTTGGCCATGTCCTTTTAAGGTTGTTAATCCGGTCAGTTCAAAATTTAATATTTGCTTTTTTGTAAGTTGCTGAGGATCCGTTGATCGCCTCGTATGATTGGATTAATTTCTAACAGACCAAATTACCTTGATCATAGAACCTCATTACTTTGAGCCTAACCTCACTAACCTAACCTCACTAAGCAGTATGCTAGCCTCGATGTCCTTACTTCACTGTCCTAACCTCACTAATCTAACCTTACTAACCTTACTAACCTCTCCTCACTAACCTAACCTCACTCTTAACCTCTCTAACCTAACCTCTCTAACCTACTATCACTAACCTAACTACACTCCTAACATTACTAACCTTACCTCACTGTCTGTGTGCAGGTGTGAAGATTGTTGAAGAATCACAAAGTCTGGAGACTCATATCCGATCAGTCGCATTCTTCGCATTTTCCAGTCCTATTGGTGTCGCCATAGGTATGTTTTTATCACAGCTACATTATTTTATTGTTATAACAGAAAGCTGGCCTCTTCCGAGCTTTTAATGTAATTTAATTGTATTTATAATTTTGTGATGGGGATTGGGGTATGTAGATTGTAGAAAGAAGATAAAATACAAAAGCTTCGATTTAAAGTAGAATAACTAAAAATGATAATCTCTTTTATTTGCAAAAAGGTACATATTAAGTTTCAAAATACAATATAACAACCTACTGATAACATACTTGCTAACTGGGCAACGAATTGAATAAATTGTTTTAACAAAAATCGCTTTTATTCAATAAAGTTGAATTATTTATCAAACATGACAACACTCAGTAGATTGTCGAATGTCGTTATATTGCAAGACTAGAATCAAATAGGTGTCGAGATAGAGGCCGTCTCAGACATTTAACCAATATAGCACAACTTAAATATCACAGCAAATCAGCATACTGATATGTTCTACTATTGTGCAGTTTATCTCTTATCCACTTGTTTTCTTAACTCTTATCATTGTTCAATGTTCAATAATCCTACACACGTCACCACGCTGTTTCAGTTCATCAATAAGTTTATCAGTATATTTACAACGGTTCCGTGTGTAATTATACAAGATCACTGTTGAGTAAACTCTGGCTCTGGAGATTGCAGTGTAGAGGCAAGGAATAATGAAACTGAACTCTATCTCCCTTGTATTGTTATCAGGTAGTGAAGCTGTAAAGGTATTTGCACTGAATCTGAAAATAGAGATAACAGCTGGCCACTCTGCTGACACACTTTGAAAACTATTGTGCAACGATATCTTATCATCTGTATTATCCCATCTCTCTGTTGATGTGCGAACAGTACGTGCTGCAAACATTAAGTTATTACCAGCATTGATTAGTACTGCAATATCTTTGTTTTTAAGACAACTACCAGATTCTCTTAACTTCTTTATCTCTTTGGTCAGAATACCCTTCCATGAAGCTGGTTCATTATCTCTCAGTACGTGGATGACAGGTTTCGTTCCACGTAGAAAGTGACCACCCACTTGTTGTGGCCAATCTGCTGACCCTGTTGCAGATTCTGTATAGTCTATCTCCTCATATATTCTTCTGATTATGGACAACACGGTAGAAATCTCGTATGTGTTTCTCAGATTTATTGAAAGCTTCAATTTTGAGTTTACGAAATATCCTTTTAGATTGTCCATGTTAGCGATACACATTTGTCTAACAGGTAAGTGTAGACGAGCACACTTGTCAAGAATAGATTGCGCATCATCACTAAATATCCAAACAATTCTATCACTTTTATCACTGTTCTTTAGGATAGGTAGTAGCCCCTTTGATACGATATCGTTCTCCTGGCTACTAAGTTTAGATTCGATATTATCAACAATCAACTGATAGTCGTCGATAAAAATACTATCAAAACTCGTTCGAAAATTGTCAACACTTTTAGATAAGCATTTACTTAAAACCAGCAATACGATTTTACTATTACATTTAGACATTTGTTGTGATAATGAGTTGTACCCTTCGTTCAACTGATCAGTTACATCTGTATCACCCTCTTCGTAGTCATACTTTATCCTCTCACACATTATATCGACACTGATGTTGCTTAGTAATTCCATATATTGAAGCACAATCGGACTTTCAACATGTGCTGCTGTTATTAAAAGAATCCTCTTCTCAGGTGTTGTGTTGAGAGCCAGGTCTATTATTTTTCCTAACATTACAATAGTTTTACCTGTTCCAGCGGGGCCCTCCACCCACAGGAATCTCTTTTCGCTATTGAATACATCTAACTGGTGTTTTGTTAGACAGTTTATCTCTAGATGTTCTTTAAAGAGTTCTGGTGCAACGACCATTTGGGGATTTTCTGGATACTTCTTCTTATTCTTTTTTCTCTTATTCTCTTCTTCATCGATTAATTTTCTTGTAACCAATGCTTTTCTGAGTTTCTTACTTACATCAACGATGCAATAAGACAAGCTGCATATCTCTAATTTAAATTTGTTTTTTTGGTTGATACACCACAGTCCGAGAAGACAACAACACAATCTATCTCTCGCAGATTTCGCAACCGTCCCAGTTACTGGTAGTGAAGCAAATGTTTCACAGCAGCTGATGATATGTTTCAAGTTATCAATATCTTCACTAAACAATAATGTTTCATCACATAGATACTGTTCTTCCACCTCTTCTATCGAAATATTAGGAAATACTGTGAACTCGTATACCATCATTGAGGTTTCCATGGACTTTACTAGATCACTCGTTCTTGTCCTTTGTTTCTTCGCGCTATTGCAGCAACCCTTAAACCTAATGCCGTCATCTACTGTGTACTGCAACGATAATCCTTTAACTTCTAGCACCGCAACAAACTGATCACCTACAACCAAGAAATCACATTCTCCTTCGATTTCCCTCGTCTGCTTTTTTGTCTTTTTACACTGATGGTTTGGAAGAAATGCAGAATATTGTTCGTGCGTATATTCGAACTGATGAATAACAACATAGTGTCTCTCCATCTCCTCAATACATCGATAGACTTTTACTTCTGCTTCATATGCGTCCTGATGTTCCTTTTCCTGGACATTGACACCCTTCAACTCAATATCTTCTGGGAGCTTATCAATAAACTTTGAGGCAGGTAACGGGGGCATCATGATTAATTCATCTCTTTTCGTACAATATTTGTCCAAAATCTTTCTGCCAATCTTATTTTCAATCCTATCACGAGGCGACGACATTGTGAAAACTCCTTCAAAAAGTTTACGATTAATGCAACAGAGGAACCTCTTACATAAACAATACAATACAATATGTTAATTTCAAAATAGCACCCTGGTAAGATGCACTAAATCTATTTAGCGGTCTGAAGGTAGTAGCACAAAAAGCTTTATAAAAGTCGATACATTGTTAAGAATGCAGGGCTGCGATTCCTTTTCTAAAACACAAATAAGCAGAACAAAACTAACAATATCTCAAAAACAAAACACTTATTACTTATTACTCCTACTAAACCTTTCTTACACGACGGTAACACAACACACAACAAGACCACTGCATATTATTCTCAATATGTAAGGTCACCCTCCGGTATGTGCTGTGTGTAACATGATCTCTTAATAACAAATGTTATTCTAGAAGCTTCTTTTACGAGCAGAAGAAAGGAGAATCCACAACCTGTTCCCTCGTGATGTGCTGATAGGAGGTACACTTAATACTCGAGAATATTTGATAAAGATTATGAACCATGTGACTGACCCTGCTTTTAACATCCCCACTCTACCCTCCTCACTTATCAGTGTGCTGGTACTGAGCCTCCTTTTAACATCCCCACTCTACCCTCCTCACTTATCAGTGTACTGGTACTGACCCTCCTTTTAACATCCCCACTCTACCCTCCTCACTTATCAGTGTACTGGTACTGAGCCTCCTTTTAACATCCCCACTCTACCCTCCTCACTTATCAGTGTACTGGTACTGAGCCTCCTTTTAACATCCCCACTCTACCCTCCTCACTTATCAGTGTACTGGTACTGACTCTCCTTTTATTATCCCCACTCTACCCTCCTCACTTATCAGTGTACTGGTACTGACCCTCCTTTTAACATCCCCACTCTACCCTCCTCACTTATCAGTGTACTGTTACTAACCCTCCTTTTAACATCCCCACTCTACCCTCCTCACTTATCAGTGTACTGGTACTGACTCTCCTTTTAACATCCCCACTCTACCCTCCTCACTTATCAGTGTACTGGTACTGACCCTCCTTTTAACATCCCCACTCTACCCTCCTCACTTATCAGTGTACTGGTACTGACCCTCCTTTTATTATCCCCACTCTACCCTCCTCACTTATCAGTGTACTGGTACTGACCCTCCTTTTAATATCCCCACTCTACCCTCCTCACTTATCAGTGTACTGGTACTGACCCTCCTTTTAACATCCCCACTCTACCCTCCTCACTTATCAGTGTACTTGTACTGACCCTCCTTTTAACATCCCCACTCTACCCTCCTCACTTATCAGTGTTCTGGTACTGACCCTCCTTTTAACATCCCCACTCTACCCTCCTCACTTATCAGTGTACTGGTAATGACCCTCCTTTTAACATCCCCACTCTACCCTCCTCACTTATCAGTGTACTGGTACTGACCCTCCTTTTAACATCCCCACTCTACCCTCCTCACTTATCAGTGTACTGGTACTGACCCTCCTTTTAACATCCCCACTCTACCCTCCTCACTTATCAGTGTACTGGTACTGACCCTCCTTTTAACATCCCCACTCTACCCTCCTCACTTATCAGTGTACTGGTACTGACCCTCCTTTTAACATCCCCACTCTACCCTCCTCACTTATCAGTGTACTGGTACTGACCCTCCTTTTAACATCCCCACTCTACCCTCCTCACTTATCAGTGTACTGGTACTGACCCTCCTTTTAACATCCCCACTCTACCCTCCTCACTTATCAGTGTACTGTTACTGACCCTCCTTTTAACATCCCCACTCTACCCTCCTCACTTATCAGTGTTCTGGTACTGACCCTTCTTTTAACATCCCCACTCTACCCTCCTCACTTATCAGTGTACTGGTACTGACCCTCCTTTTAACATCTCTACTCTACCCTCCTCACTTATCAGTGTACTGGTACTGACCCTCCTTTTAACATCCCCACTCTACCCTCCTCACTTATCAGTGTACTGGTACTGACCTTCCTTTTAACATCCCCACTCTACCCTCCTCACTTATCAGTGTACTGGTACTGACCCTCCTTTTAACATCCCCACTCTACCCTCCTCACTTATCAGTGTACTGGTACTGACTCTCCTTTTATTATCCCCACTCTACCCTCCTCACTTATCAGTGTACTGGTACTGACCCTCCTTTTAACATCCCCACTCTACCCTCCTCACTTATCAGTGTACTGGTACTGACCCTCCTTTTAACATCCCCACTCTACCCTCCTCACTTATCAGTGTACTGGTACTG